TTTACTATTTAGATCAAGATACCCGTTATAGTCCCGTTATAGTCCACGTTTCTGAGGCGTATACCCGATACACCTCAGAAACGTGGACCCTGCGCGAAGTAGAGAAGAAGAAGATAGACGCCCTAGAGATGTGGTGCTGGAGGAGAATGCTCGGAGTATTGTGGACTGAATTCCGTACCAACGAGTCTATACTTCGAGTACTCGGCATCAAGCAGCGTTTATCGTCTGTGGTGCAGTCTCGTATCCTCACTTTTTTTGGTCACGTATGCCGCCGAGGGGAGGTGGCTATTAAGCGACTTGTGGTCCAGGGAAAGGTTGAGGGTACCAGGTCAAGAGAAAGATCTCCTATGAGATGGACTGACCAAATAAAAGCTGCAGTAAATGGCTCATCATCATTACACGAATGCACAAGGAAGGCGGACATCAGAGATGAGTGGTGGCGTGTTGTGAAGCTTGCCACCAACACCTGAATTGATGACCATGACCACTCTGTCAAGAGTGATACCGACAAAGATGAAGAAGACCCGTTATAGATGGGCCATTTTTGCAATGCTCACTTATTGGATGGGTGACCAAAAACTTATTATGTCAAGTTTTGTGCTTCGGAAGGTACTTTAAGCCGTTGGTCCCGGCTACATCTGCAGTCGGTAACACCCACCAATCTGCACTGGGCCCGCGTGATGGGCCATAGCCCAATCTGCCTATCCATGCATAGGCAAGTCCTGTGACACAGCATTCAAGACATTAATAGACAGTAATGATGGTGACGTAATTTTTTCATCGTTCGTTTTTATTGGCAGTATTTTTTTCTTCTTCTTTAATAAAAAGAATACATAAAGTTTATTATTAAAGTTTTTTTTACTTTTTATGTTCTCGCAACAACGTACAGATTACAACAACGCAATCACAAAGTTGCAATTGATAGCCGTTCACTTGCTAGTGGCGCTAGTTTCCATACGTCATAATCGCAAAGCTATACAGCGACCAATCAGTTATATGTTTCTGTAATACCGATAATCGCTACTGGTCGCAGTCGTATTGATATTGTCAGTGCCGTCTTTGACCTATTGAAGGCCCTGGGCATATTAGGATAATGGCCCCTATGACTTCCTTTTGGTGATTTAACAGGAACTAGGGACTTTGTATTTGATCTGAGGGGGCCCCCTATCGATCGCGGGGCCCTGGGCACTTGCCCAAATTGCTCACTGGGAAAGACGGGTCTGGATATTGTATAAATAACGACTGGTTGCTAAAGATCGGTAACAAGCCTGCCGGTTCCGGTTGGTTTAAAATTTGTGCACCTCTGCTACGAAGTTTATTTTTGACGATATTCTTCATCGAAAACAAACGTTCTACAGCATTAGCATTTAATGATAAACTCAAAATAGCCGTGGCAAGTTAGGTGTTTTGGTTTTCGCCATGGTTGAAAATCATAGACTGACTAGCTAGACTATTTTTAAATAGCTCTGGATTCTTGCATATGAGTTAGAATGATACTTGAATGAAAAAGACGTTCGACGTTCATTGCATTATATGTTTTTAGAATTCCCCAAAAATTCCCCTCAATATTTTTTTCCCCTATTACTACTACTATTTCTCCAAGAGTAAAATTTTCCCCAAAATTATAAAAAAAAACCGAGACTGGTAACACTGTTGACTTTAACGTCAATGACCACAGATAAGGGAAACTCGTATTTTATTTATAACGTTTTCCCTTTTTAGGAAAGGCAAAGAGAATCATACAGCCTAATCTTCAAGACATTACAATATGAGTGTGACGCATTCTAATGTTTATTGGAGTGTTTGACACGAAATGTATCGGGTCAGCTTTCTCTTTCTTTATTGAAGTTATACTTCTTTAGGCGCGTTATGAAAAAATGATGAGAGTGAAATTTTTAGATGCGCGCGCATCACTGTAACACAATAGTAACACCATGAAGTTGGCCGCGGGCGCGTTATGAATGTTAGTGTCTAATTATTAGACATCTGTTCGAAAGGTGCTTTGAACGATCCACGGAGCTCCATAAGATGATCGCGTTGTCAAAAACAATGTTGGCACGCTCGTCGCCTCTGATCACTGTTTTCATATTTATAATATTTATCCACATGCTTCTAGTTTCTATATAGACACAACGTGTTTTAGTTACTTACAAGTGCTAATTACATATGGACTAATAACTTAAATTCAGTAGTGATTTTAATTGAATATTTTGAATATTTATTTAATTTTTCAAATTAAAACTGAACTTAATTGACTGTGTTAACTATCCTTTTCCAGTCCTTTTATTATTTTATTGTAATTATTAATTATTTGCATGCAATTAAAAAATATTTTTAATGATGCTAAAGAAGTATAACTTCTCACGCGCGTACATAAGTTACACGCATCCATTTTCTTTTTTTATGAATCGAGTCAGCTTTCTCGATAAGCTTCTGTGAGGTTTTTTTATTAGTTCTCTCAATGGAAAAGCAAAGGCAAAGCAATGCAGCCATGTTAGTAAAAAAAGTTTGAGGATCGTGTAATTCTTTGTCTAAACAATTACTCGCGGGCTTTCGATACTTTGCATATAAATATGCTTATAGCTAAGCTCAGTTCTAATGGGTTTAAAGATAATGCAAGTAAAGTAGAAGCAAGTAAGGTTCTCAAGTTACTTGTCAGGTCGTTCGCAGAGATTGTTGCACGAAACATATTTTATCCACTTATACATTAAACAAGGGAGTTCCACAGGGAACAATTTTAGGTCCTATACTGTATCGCACTTAGCGCCAATTTACCAGCATCATACTTAACAAATATCACTCGCATGCTGATGATCTACCTACAGATATACAAGTTTTTCAAAAGATAAAGTTTTTATTTGTGTTTGTAGGCTGTTGGTCGCAAATGAACTTTACAACGTCACCGGTTCTAAGAACGGCAAGATTTTTTGGGGACCTCAAACCGAGAATTGGCGAGTGCCTCTAGAAGTATTCCAAACAGAATACAATTTCCCACGGGGGGAGTCCCTCTCCGACTGGAACCTCTAGACCACTCGAACCTCAGGGGATCGCCTCAACTAGAAGGCGTCTCTGGGGCTCGGACCTCGGCTCTAGTTAGCCGTTGTCGTGGGGTGCGGGGAAAATCGCCCAGGTACGTACCGGTACCTGGTATAGGGCGTAGTGTATAGACCTATGGGTACGGTGTCTACCTAATACTAAGTTAGTGTGCAAATTTGCTAGCTGGTGCAGTGCGCCTTCGACTCCTCCCACACTTATTGATGTTTGTGGCAGACCACAAACACCAACAAGTGTGGGAGGAGTCGAAGGCGCGTTGGCGCGGGTGATTTCGTCATCGTGGTATTCTAAGACCTGCTTAGGCCAAAGGAATCGGAGAAAAAGATGAAGATGCGAAAAGAAGAAATGAAGATCTACGTGGAGACGTAAAGTAAATAAATTACTTGTTCTTGATACAAACAAACAAGTTAATTTAATAAATTGTTAACTAAATTACCTTAAAATATTTGTAGAAAACAAAGAAATTGAAAAAGTTGTGGTATCGCGTAATTTATGCGTTTTAATGGACAGCAAACTGAAATTCGGCAACCACGTTCTTGAGACAGTTAAGCAATGCTTAACTGTCTCAAGGTTGAAAGTTTTATATCAAATTTATCCATTCTTAACTATATACATATAGGTATCTGTTTATTTGAATCTTTAATGTGCTTGGGCCAAGACCCACCAACCGGGCCCAATGCGAATTGGTGGGGTGCTAATGACTGCAGATGCAGCCGGGACCAACTGCTTAACATCTCTTACGAAGCACGGAGGAGCCCAAGATATTTTAGTCTTTTTGATCACCCATCCAATGACCGTTCACTGCCGAAGTTGCTTAACCTCAACGATCGCAGCAGAATGCGCCAACCACTCCAACTCGATAGCACAACCAGTTTCTTATCCCACTTCCTACTAATATTATAAATGTGAGAGTTTCTATGTTTGTTGCTCAATCACGCAAAAACTATTGAACAGATTTGGATGAAATTTGGTACGCATACTGTTTATGAATGGAATTGAGACATAGGATACTTTTCATTCCAAAAAACTGTTGGGTTTCTGAGAGATTCTCGAAAAACTAAAATTAACGCGGACGCCGGTATAGTAATAAAGAATAAATAAATAATAATTAATATTTCTGACACCACACCAATTAGCCTACCCCTAAAGTAAGAATTGAAAACTATTATTTTACAGTATTGTTAATACTTCATCTTCCTACTGGCTATATATAATTTTTTAGATATCTCTTGAATTTGAAATTGGCTGAACAAATTGGTTTTATTTTATTTTCAGTATAGTCTTGACGAGAGCAGAAGTTGCTAATCATCAGCATCAGCCTATTAATATCCCCACAGCAGGGGCACAGACATTCCCTACAGACGGAATAGGTACACACCACGTGGGCCCAGTGCGATTCCCCATTGGTGCTCGAGATAATAATTTATTGGTCGCCCATCCAATGACCGACCACTGCGAAAGTTACTTTTACGTTTTAACTTTCACGAAAGCAGGCAGAATGCGTTAACCACCTGCGCCATCGAGCTCCTCCATTTTCCAAATACTATTATTTATGGATAGTAATCATTAACACGGACATCTAGACAAACTTACAAACGTATATTTCATACGTAACATACCCATAATATAATTATGGGTATGTAACGTATGAACTATATGTTTTTTAATTGTTTCAGACAGTTCTCATTTAATGAAGTATCATTTTTACTCACTACGAATATAAAAAACAAATCCATTAGGTATACGCAAGTTACGATGATAACGTCATCATCATGCCATATTTATTTACATGACTGCCCAAAAGAAGAGTGTATGGTTTTTTCTTCTGAGCTTACAAAACACAGATAATCCCCCATACAACAATCAATGGCAATAGTTGAGAGCCCTATATTTGTTATCAAAGCACTAAGTATAATATTACAAGTTCAATATTTTCATTTTTGCAGATTACAACGCAATGGTTGCAAACTACTAAAGACATTGCAGACTCTTGAAAATGTTGGAAATACCAGATAACGTAAGTACATACATGAAATCTTTTATCACAGAATATGTACTCTTTAAGTAACAGCTACCGCCTGCAACTTCATCAAAGTTCAAGTTAGTTTTTAAAAGAATCTTCAATGATATTCAAGAAGAATAGTTTATTCATTGATAATCCCATAAGTACCCAACCTTATCCGGGTAAAAAAGCATCCAATGTGTCCATCTAGGTGATAATCTATTTATTTGGCGTACTCACCTCATTGCACGAAAACAGAAATTGATATGCCAATAAATAGTTCCTGAAATAGTACCCTCAGTAAGAGCAAATATTGTATGAATTTCGCCCTAGATAGAATTTTATAGCAATCGAGTCCAATATAGTTTATAATAAATTACAATAGTTTGCAGTGTTTTGTTGCCGATTATTTTTTTTGCTGTTGCTGTCTACTTATGATATGACCAGTCACATAGTCAAGGTGTGCATATTCGAGAAGAATTAAGCTGAACACACGCCACCAAGTACCTAAATAGACCTTATTTTATACTTTGTAAATTAAATATTAAAAATTAAAAATACTGTTCATTTAGCCAATTTACAACTTACTTATAGCATGCAAAAAAAATATTATCACAAAATATGCACTTCAGCCCCTCTAGCATGACCACTGAAACGGGATATGATAAAGCTTTTTATCGAATCTCAACTGTCAAACTCCACTGTAGTTTTTTAATGTTGCCGGTTCCAAAAAGGTTAAACAACGATGTAGTATTTCCTATCCATAATTTGGCCAATGTACTAAAATTGTGATTAATCTATCTATGGATTTGTGATATGCATTTGTGACACAATGCAATGGCTGCAAGATACAAGAAGAAAACTTATAAACAACGTTTCCTTAAGGTCAGTAATTGCTGTATTAATTACGTGTCAAGTCGGCTTGTCTACGTATTTTAATTAGGTATAAAATACCTAAATAGGTAAAAAATATGTAGGTATAATGATGCCGCTATAAGAATTTCTATTATATAATTGGGACAAATTTGAATTCTAATTCAAACTCCACTGTAGTCTGACAGTTAATGTCGATATATCGCTTTATCATATCCCGTTTCGGTGGTCATGCTAGAGGGGCAGACTGGCATTCCCAGCTTGGACATGCATAAAATGCCATTGGGATATTGACCCAGCTATCGTTTTTGTATAAATGTGTATTCGGCTCTATCTCTGATGTTTCGTTTTCTATAGATATCAGGTTAGACAATGTAAAACAATGAATAGGTACTTATATTAAAAAAAAACATTTCTAATTCATTGACGGAAAAGCGAACTTTAAAGTTTAAAGAGTTTTTCTTTAGAGTTTCGGCTTAAAACGCTGTAAATATTACATAGTATTTACAGCGTTTTAAGCCGGTGCTTAGGCACCGGAAGTTAGTTTCAGTGAAATCATCATCGACTTTCGCCGCTAAAAGCTCGTAAATTTCCATTGAATTAACACGGGAAATTAGATTTAAAGAAATTGTATTTTTTTTTATTAATGTTCTTATTAATTACTGTAATCTTTGTTAAAAGTATTGTATTTGTTGACAAATACTGTTTTTAGGGTGGCAAACAAGCGTATGGCCTGCCTGATGGTAAATGGCCACCATAGCCTATAGACGCTTCCGATGCTAAGATGGTATTGTTGCGATACCATAAATATCTAACCCACACTCATACCCCGTGGAGCCCTGCCACCTTACTCACCAACAGAAAGAAAACACCAAGTTATGGTGGTGCTGTGTTATTATACTGTAGTCTTCTGTAAGTATTAGTTACTTTACCAGGGGGCGCAGTAAATCCGCTATACTACTTCTCATAATTCCTAATTAAGTTTTTCTTATTTTTAGTAGTGTTGTTTTCTTAAAGATTTATTCTTATTTTTGTTTTTGTAAAACTGTGATAATAATATGTAGCTGTAATAGTAACTTAATGTAGTGTTATGCTTTTCCTGTCCTGCGATCAATAACATAAAAAATATTATATTATATAAAATATGAAAATTCTAATTAAATTGAACATGGAATCAAATTAAGATAAAAATCGAAATGATTGAGCAAACAAAAGTTTACCTTACAATCAAAGCGATAAAATTTCAAATTGGTTCCAAATATATGCCTATTTCGATGTGACCAATCCATTTGGTTAATTATAGTACCTAGCTTGCGTACAGTCAGTTCAGTCATTGGAGACAATCCAAATAGCGTGGGGTAATAATAATTGTTAGGCTGCAACTGTTTTTTTTTTGTTTTTTTTTAATGTTGCCGGTTCCAAAAAGGTTAAACAACGATGTAGTATTTCCTATCCATAATTTGGCCAATGTACTAAAATTGTGATTAATCTATCTATGGATTTGTGATATGCATTTGTGACACAATGCAATGGCTGCAAGATACAAGAAGAAAACTTATAAACAACGTTTCCTTAAGGTCAGTAATTGCTGTATTAATTACGTGTCAAGTCGGCTTGTCTACGTATTTTAATTAGGTATAAAATACCTAAATAGGTAAAAAATATGTAGGTATAATGATGCCGCTATAAGAATTTCTATTATATAATTGGGACAAATTTGAATTCTACACTAATGTAAAATGGTAAGGATATTTACTTCTAACGATCTGAGTACAGCGAGGTAGTAATAATATTTAAAGAGATTAGTTTGACATTAGAAAAAGAAATATTTTAATTTTATTATAAGATGTATAATTTAAGGTTTACCTTGAGACAAGAAGTATTATGGTGCGTTCCCTTTTCGTGCCCATCACAAACTCGCTTTATAAATTCTGAAAATAGATCGTAACAAGGATTAGGGTTTTTAGGAGATGTTTTCTCTTTATTTTATTAGACTTGAAGACCTTAAAAAAAGATCGTACCCTTACTTAAAGGCCGGCATCACATTTGTGATACTCCTGGTGTTGCAGGTGTCTGAGCGACGGTAATCACTGAACATCTGGTGCGCCGTCAGATCGTATGCGTAGGTGTAATATTTAAAAAAATAAATACACGTAAATAATGATTTTATGTATCTTACAATAGCATGTTGTCTTGTCACATTTTCATTAACTGAATATCCTGAAAGATTTACGGTTAGTTTTTTAACAGTTTTCACGCTCAATTAAATACATATAAACCTCTTTCAAGAGGTTTACTTCAGTTTTTTACTCTGAAGTTATACTTTTCATTACCTCATGCATCCATGAATGAAGTTATTATTTTCCTTAATCAATTCTAATTTTATTCATAATCAGAGGATACTAGACATAACCACTATAAAAAAATATATATGAACAAATAGCTTGTGTCACTTAGCTGTAATAGCTAGTATGGTGGTCACGCAAGACATTAAAGATGTCACTATTTAACACCACATTTCAATTTGATTGGATTAAGTGTATTTGCCCAAGACCGGAAACAATAACAACTGGCTGCCGCTATAAATCTATCAGTACCTACTAACAATGATCAGTTCATCGACTTTCACTGTCTGCGCGAGCAGCTAGCAAGTTCTTTTGTTACTATTCCAACTCGAGTCGGGACTCCCTAGTGGATTACCGCGCAGCGCCCGCGTATTTGTAGTTGTCAACCTTTTTTGGATTCGAACCTCAAAAAGAAAAAACAAGTGCGAGTCGAACTCACCCATCGAGGGCTCCGTGCAAATTTGTGTTATATTCAGTGAAATTGTGGTTTTATGAACAGTAGGTACATACCTAAATTTAAGTACAAACAAAAGTTGGAAAAGGTATTTATTATTTTCCATTTTTCATCATACGATCGAAAACAATACTATTTCATATTGATCATTAAAAATAAAAAGAAATATCACGCACAAAGTTACACACTCAATATATGATGATATGTTTGGTGAATCGCTGCAAGCTGTTCCTTGGAACAGGCAAACAATTAGAAACAGCAAATTAAATGGACAACTACCTAATAACTTCGATACAAAAGTGCATTGAAAACAATCGCAAAATAAAAACCATATTTAAATAACAATAAACCTTAAAAACGTTGGATTACCCAGATACTTGTCAAGGTATGCGTAAAAGAAATAAAATATACAAAGCTTTTATAAGACAGTGATGTGAACTTACAACTATATGAGTTTGCAACTCTGTAACGAAAATTCTGCAACGCAATTATTATTAATCTCAACTGCACATCACAGTGGGAATTTAAAAAAAAACATGGCAAATCTAAAAAAAATGTTTGCAATCTGAAACAGCAGAAATAATACCCACTAAACTTTAAAACGCTGGTGACAATATTGATAATCCACATAAATCACTTGATACTGTAAATAATTATTTGACTTCTGTTGGACGCGAAATAGCCGTCTAAAGTCAGAAGGCGACTAACCATTGTAAAGATAAACTAGCGAATGAGGCAATGAAAGTCTCAGGACCCTGTTCATTCGATGCCACTGTGTCCGGTTGACCCAGGCGAAGTGTTGGACTTATTGAGCTATTTACAAAGTAACAGTGCTCCGATGTGGGACCAAATACCAGCCTACATTTTTAAGCAATTAAGATAAATAAATAATTCAATATAAACCAAATAACCAATCTTTCAATAGCAATATTAGTTTTTCGACAGGCAGATTTCCCGAAATTTGTTACGGGAAGAAGATACGGCTACAAATTTGTATGGAATCCTCGTTAGGTGAGTCCGACTCGCATTTGTCTGTTTTTTTTTTATTCTGTCTTCCACTTTTGTATTTATATTCTATAGCTATTTTAACAAGTTTTCTATTGATGTCTACGATTTTTTTACAAAAAATGGGTACTTTCTCTTTACATTTTTCAGTCAGTTCCGAGCGCTAATAGGTAATTCTTTAAAAAGCGTTCTCCGTCCAACTTTGGTGGTGGAGGAGCAATCACATATAAATATACATTCACGCTTAGATAGAATAAGAACAAATCACTGACAGATTCTCGTGATTATTTACGCGATGTGGATGGACCGTGCGATGACCCACAAGGGTACCCCTGGGT